ATCCACAGCGCCATCAGCAAGCAGAACAACGGTCCTGGTGGTGGTAGTAGTAGTAGTAGTGGTTTAGTCGATCGCCCCATTGAGTATAATTGGCAGTTGAAATGGCCAGGTATGGGGGTTTAATTTTCATGACCCAAAATTGGCTGCCGATATCATTCCTAAACGACGTTCTTCGGGTATCCTACTTATTCTCTTCTCACTTCTGGATCCTTTAAAAATACCTGCCTGATAGGCCTTTGATGACATCGTCCTGTACTTCATAAACTCAAGTAAAAAACGGCTGATAGCCTCTTCTCGAATAAGTGTTTGTGGTGAATGAACACTAATCGACCGCTGTTGTACTCATGAAAATCTAGAAGCATGGTTTCTTATGTGATTTACTACCTATGCCAAATCTAGGAAACCTTTACGCAGATGATCTTATTAGAGGCACTATGACTCTGAGTGACATCCTTGGAAGATCAAACCTTTGCAAGGTTGGCAGCATAAAGTCTTATGCAATTCACTTACCCCCGTTTCTTATTTCGAGTCCTTTGTGGCGTGACTACCTTTTCTGGAATACGAAGTATCTCAGTCTGTTTTACTCAATCCATTTATTCTTTCGTCTACGTTTCTTATTAGTTTTTTTAATCTCTGTAACTTGTGAAGATGGTGTTGGTGGGGGTTACTGGGTGCTCAGTTAGGGGTCCAACATGAAGGTTGTGGCAGGTCGCATTATCTCCCCCGTGTAAGTGGTGGCTACGCCTAGCGTCCTTATCTGGCACTCAGCTTTCACTTTTGGCTCCCTGAAGTTCGGCTCTGCATAGCGGCCATCCCCGGTAACCACCTCGATCGGCGGGCGAAATCAAGTGAGGGTCCCCGATGTGTGTCCTCCCCCACACCCGGTATGCCCCCGGGTAGCAGTAGTATCATAGTAGACGTAGTAGGTGGAAGGCACATAGATAGTTACTGTATTTCATAGACACCATGTAACACGAGAAGCAGTTTTCGCATTACCGTAATCATTGCAGCAATACTAGAAACCGCAGTAGACTGCCAGTAATAGAATACCTTTCGCAGTATTAGTACATTAACCTCAATAATCGCGTTACTATTAATAATATCTTTCGTAGGTGCAGTACTGTTATCACTACCAATACTACTAGTGGTTGTACTACTAGTTATTGTGCGCTTATTATCGATAGTACTAGTCCTATCACCAGTATTACTATTATCAGTAGCATTACACTATTCATATAGCATTATATCCATTACTAGTATCACTAACACTGATATCACGATTAGTATTACCAATATTATCAGCAGATGCTGTACTGATATCACCATTAATATTACTACTTTTTGTACTACTAGTCTTTTCGTGCTGGACTTATCATTGCTAGTACTACTACTGTCACTATTACTAGCATTACACTCTTCCTGTAGCATTGTATTAATTGTTCTATTGTCTTACTATATCTGCTTGATACTATGTTGTTGCACCATTGTCTTTACTATCGCCGAGGATCGACCTCACAGCCTCCCCATTCCCAGCATCAGGTCACTATCCAAGACGGTCAGTTGTCTGGTGAGGGGTGAAGAGAGGTACCAGCAACACTCAATACTCTACTCCTAACGGTTCTAGAACACCCTGGATTCCGATGTGGTGTACTTACTTGTACCTGTTACGGCTGTGATCATGCCTGATCTAGCCGGCCTCAATGGTGTCACGAACGGTACCTCTTCATGCGTGGCGATTGGCGGCAGCGGTTTTGGAAAGTTCGCGATGTGGTGGTCGCGAGATAGTTGTTTCCTACGCAATAACTCCCTGGGGCAAAAACTACGAGTGTCTGAACGACTGTGTGGGCGTGAGCAAAGGCATTACGCTTGCTTGAGAAATAAGCACACGCTGATTAGCTGGTTCCACGCGTGCACTTAACAGCCAGTTTGGCATACTGTGTGTGCGCGTGATCTCGTCTTTCCTGTGGTTTAGTCCGCGACTCCGTTGTTTTCGCCCTTAAAAACCTCAAGCTTAAGAATGACAGCAGCCTGGAGGTACAGGGCACACA